GCAGAGGGTGCACTTTCCTTAATTTAGATCTTTCTAACCACTTGTCCAAAAGGGGACAAGTTGTTTTATAAAATTAAAAACTTTTATCCAATGAAAAGAGGTAAGCTGGGGGGATAACTTCCTTTCCCTTTTGTCTACCAAATGTTACAAAATGGAATATGTAGAAGTCATAGGGAATGCAGTCTCGTTTAGCTTTTTGGCTAATAGAAAAATCAATCTTGATGACTTCTTTTTTACATGGAGCTGGGATCGTCAAGCTTGAGTCCTCCCTCACAAACTGAGGGCTTTAACATTTGTTTCATTCTTGGGGCTTCCTTTTTCTCTCACATGTGTACGTGTGTGTGTGTGTGTGTGTGTGTGTGTGTGTCTTCCCCTCTTTTTATACCAGCATTTTCTGATAAAAATATAATGCAAGTTGCATAACTAATTTCAAATTTTTTTAGTAGTCAACATTAAAAAAGTTAAAAAAAACAGGTGAAATTAATTTTTAGATATATTTTATTTACTAGTAAAATATATTTAGTAAAATATATTTTATTCAATTTTTATCATTTTAAGTATAGCCAATATAAAAATATTAATGAGACAGTTTACATTCCTTTTTGGTACTAAGTCTTCAAAGATTGGTGTGTATTTTACCCTTATGGCACAGATCAGCTTGGACTGCCCACATTTCAACCACTCAATAGCCCCATGTGACCAGTGGCTACTGTTTTGGACAACACGTTCTATACTTTGCTTCTTTCACTCACTATTTCCCCATCCTCAACTAGCAGAAAAGAGTGTACGTATTACGAAACGGTGCTATGTATGCAGGAACCCATTATGTCTAATTATCTATTGATTTGCATCATGCAGGAGACATGAGACATGGCCTGTGTTCCCTGGAGATACTGTCATCTGCCAGTTCTGAGATCTTTTTCATTGAATGTAAGTCATATTTCTCAGCCAGTCCATTCTTAAGTGGCTCTAATTCCCCCTGTTTCTATATGAGGTATAGATTTTAATCAAAACCTTCAATTTTATTTTTCTGAGTGCCAAATACATGATGACTACCACCCATTGCATACTTCCTGCGTGCTAAGGATTGTGTGCTAATTGTTTCTCCATGTGATTCTGTTTAGTGGTCACAATAGCCCTTTGGGTTAGGTACTGTTATTACCACCTCTGTTTTAAAGATGAGGAAACTGAGGATGAGAAGGGCTAGGGAGTTGTCCATCTTGACTCAGCCAGAACACAGCAGAGTAGGGATGTCATGTTGGGTCTGCAAGACTCCAAATCGTGGCTTCTTTAACTTCATGTGTGGCGTTTGCCAAGTTGTGAGTAGATTAACTGCAAATTTAGGACATTGGTAAAGAGTAGAATTCTATCCATGGAAGAAACCCTAGAGTTCCTGTAATCAGATCTCTCTGTTGCATAGGGAAAAAATTATAACGCAAATCTAAGGCCAGGGGAGGCCGAGTGGTGTCTCCATTAAACTTCCAAAACTAGAACCCAGGCCTTCCGACTCCAAGCCCAGTGCTCTCCCCTCTGATTAGACATGTTTCCAGGCTTAAACTCCAGTTTATAGGACCATCAACGTCCCCTCTAAAGAGGAAGAAAGAGGTTTCAAATTCTTCTCAGGGCAAAAAAACCCCAAAAACTGACATCAAAAGGTTTTTTTGGGGTCATTTGTCTCATCGTGACTTTGATTTGGCCTTGATCTATATTTAGCATTTCAGTTTTATGCTCTGCAACAAGTTTGGCCATGTTGGAGGACCATCCAAAGGTCAGCGAGTTGGCTGCCGGCGGTTGGTTGTAGGCTCTCTCAAGAGCCAAAGTCTATTACTGTGTCTTGGAAATCCCCGGCTCACCTCTGGATGAGGATTGCATCCACGCTGTCTCTGGGAGTTGTGGGCTTTGCAGGCTTTTTGTTCCCTGCTCCAAAGGAGCCTGCTACTGGCTGGGCAGCACTTCTTTCTGCAGGGCCTGGGTGGGTGGGGGACACGATGGCTCTGCCGTGTTCTGGGCATCCATTCAGTCAGTGGTTCAGATTCGGTTTCACGTTCTCATCAGGGGCTGTGGTTTAGAGGAGAAAGACTATATTCCTAAATTTGTTTAATTGTGCTTTTTTTTAAAAAAATTTTATTGAGGAACAGCCAACGTAATTGGTTACACATTGCTTTCACACCGCAATGGCATAGTTGTTTCTTTTTAGGGAGGGCACAACTCACAGTGGTCCACGCGGGGAACGAACCGGCAATCTTGGTGTTATCAGCACCACGCTCTAACCAATTGAGCTAACTGTGCTATTTGTGCTAATTGTGCTATTTTTACTTCTCTGGTTTAAGTACAAATCTGCCTGACATCTTTGACTAAGGCTCATGATAACTATCATAAAGCTGTCCTTTCCAAGAACTAGCTCACGCTGACATCTGTGGGTAGGCTTACCCGAATCTTGGATACACAACACATTTTTCATAGTGAACACTCTGTTGAAGTATTTCTACAACTGTTACTGCTCAGTTAATATTGAATTTGTTCCAAGAGTAATGACATTGTTCAAGATGAGAAATATCCTCTTCATAACCTGTTTAATAAGATAATTCTCTAGTTTATCTACATTGTCACATATCTGTGAATACTTGAGTGCAGTTGGACAATTAAGTTCACAAACTCATCCTAGAAACAGTGCTAATACCTCATTGCTGAATATCACTATGGGCACCTTCGAAGTACTCCCCTTGTAAAGAATGCCAGCGCCTAGTCTACCCTTCAAAGCAATTTTGGAACTCTTTTTCTGGAATAGCCATCAGAGCTGTCATCCTATTACCTTGATGTCCTAAATGTCATCAAAATGTCTTCCTTTCAATATTTCCTTTATCTTTGGGTAAAACAGAAATCATTGGGGGGCCAGATCAGGTGAGTAGGGAGGGTGTTCCAATCCAGTTCTTTGTTTACTGGCTAAAAACTCCCTTACAGACAGTGCCATGTGAGCTGGTACAAGAGCCATGAATTGTTGGCAAAAAGTTCAGGTGGTCTAACTTTTTCACTCAGCCTTTTTCACACTTCCGAATAGTAAATTTTGTTTACTGGTTAACTGTTTGTGCAGTTGGTACAAATTCATAATGAATAATCCTTTTGATATCAGAAAAAGTTAGCAACATCGTTGCAACAAGTTCGCAAACTTAATTGTCACACCTCGTATAGGTTATGGACATGATTGTTTATATATCATGATGTAGGCTTGGACCAGTCTAGGCCATAGTTATTACTCTAGGACCATGGTTCTCAATTGGGGCAATTCAGTCCCCTCAGGGGATATTTCACAGTGTCTGGAGATATTTTGGGGCATCACATTAAGGGGATGGTGATGGATTCCAGTAGATAGAGGCCAGAGCCTCATCTAAACACCCTACAGTGCACAGGTTAGTCAGTAGGGCTGACTCTGAGAAACCCTCCCCTCGAACAGTGTCTCTCAAATGTTAACATGCATCCTAATCACATGGAAGCCTTATCAGAACCCAGGTTGCTGGGCCCCATCCCCACAGATTCTGATTCCGAGGTCCAGGATGGGGTCCAAGAATCTGAGTTTCTAAGAAGTTCCCAGCTGATGCCCATGTGGCTGGAGCAGGGACCACACTTCGAGAACCATTGCTGGAGACAGTTCCATGAGTAAGCACTGGCTGATTTCTTGAGCTGCTGTGCTTAGACTACCAAGCAAAGTACCGTCTTTACTAGCGAAATGGTGCAACAAGTCCTTGGAGTGATCTATTGATGTGTGTGACCATAGGCAATGACGAGGCTTTGCCTGGCCGGCCTCACCCCAGACGTGATGCACAGCTGGTGCATTCCGATTTTCTGGAGGGAGCTGCACTCCGGTGGCCTCACCGCCCATGCTTTTATGCATGGCTGCCGCTCTAGCCCAAGTGCCTCCATTCTGAGGCCTCTTAATGGGGCCTTTGGCTAAGACACTTCATGTTGACTCGCCATTCTGTTCCTAGCCCTCCCCTCTTTCCATCTCCGCAGGAAAGGCAGATCCATAAAGTGGCAGGAGTCTTTTGTTTGGGGGACTCCTTTGCTCATGAGTAGATTGCTCTGTCTGTTCTGCATGTCACCTGATCCTCTCCTGTGCTGTTCCGTGGGGCAGGATGCAAGCGGGGAGGGGAGCTGGAGCCTTTCTCTTTTGCCTCTTGCTTACACTATTGTAGTAAGTGAGTGAAGGCTTGATTGTTACTCTCAGTTTGGCTCATTGTCCTAACTGACCACCTTGAAACCTGATTGTTCAACGGCTGGTATTAAGTGTATTCCTTTACCCACAGTCTCTCCTGAATCCATGTGATGTGAATACAAATGTTATGGTACAAAAATATCTGGTGTGACTGACTGGTGTGAGTGGTGGTCCTTGGCTGCCTGTCTGTTGGCGCGACCCGGGGAGCCTGTTAAAATGTGGTTTTTAATTCAGTAGGTCTGGGGCGGGGCTTGAGGTTCTGCATTTCTGAAAAGTTCTGTGGGGATGTGAGTTTTGTTGGTTTAGGGACACACTCTGAGTAGCAAGACTAAAGTTCCAAAAAACTGACAGTTTCATCAAGGGAATTAGAGTGAATACAAGGCACACATAACAATTAGAGCGATAGTACTCAGTGGAGACAGCTGTTTCTAAGATTTTTTTTTTAAGTGAGGTGGTTTTAGAACAGCAGTACTGAACCCTGGCTCACCTGAGGAGTTTACTATTTTTGTATGGAAATGTGTTTTTGAGATTAGATGTTTCGAGTGACAAGTGAGCTGGATTAGGAGTGGAAATATCACAGGTCTAGCCTAGTAATTGGCATTCTGAGCTGCAGGATCTTAGAGTAATTAATGTCTACTAGTTTGATTCTATCTGTTAAAAAGTATGGATGAAAATATATACTATGCTTTGACAATATGTTGACAGTATTTCTAGATTTGTTGTCAGCTTCCAATGAGAACGTATATGGAAAGACACCCTTTATTTACTTGTTATTCAAAATATGCACTAGGTGACTGCTCTGGGCCAAGCACTACTTCTCAGTTCTGGGGAAAACATCAGCGAGATAGAGCTCTAGTTCCTGGCCTCATGGAACCTGGAGTCTCGTGTTGAAGACAAGCATCAAAGAGGCAACAATCATAACGCAGGGTGAGTGTTATGACAGGAGAAGCCGATGGTGTCGTGGGAGCTTATAGCGGGTGAATTACCTTCAGCTAAAGTCACAGCTAAAGAAAGGGATATGAGTGCTGAGATCTGAGGGCAGGGGGTCCAGGCGGAGGAATGGTAGGTCCAAAGGCCCCGTGCTGAAAGAGCACAGTGACCAGAGAGAGCGGTCAGGCATGGCTGGAGCATGGAAGTGAAGAAGAACACGGCTCCTTAGGAGTTTGGAGAGGTATTCAACAGGACACCTTTGGTTACAGGCGGCTGAAGCCCAGCTCGTAGGACGTAAGTGTAAAAGAGAAAGTGTTGGCTGATTGACGCCCCTGAGTGGAGTTGGCTTCCAGGGGAGTGAGATGAGATCATCACGTCTGTCTCTTTGCTCCCTTACTTTCTACTTTCCTCTGTGCGCTGGTCTTCCTCTCATTTCAGACATGCTTCCTCCATATGTTGAGAAATGACAGGGTGTGATTCAAGGCAGCTCAAGGTTTACAGCACCCCAGTGTAGCTGCTACAAAGGAAAGTGAGGTCTTCTCTCTTCCAGGATGCATATTGTATCTTCCAGATAAGAAATCTGATTGGATCATATACCATTTGGGCCAATGATTGTGATTGGGGGATGGGAAGAGAACTGTGATTGGCTGTCCCACTAAAATCACAGGTGTGTGTGGGGGATATCACTTCAGTGAGAAAACAGTTGCTGTTGTCAAAAGGGGGGAGGAGGAAGGGCAGAAGGATGCTGGGCAGACAGAACCAAAAATGAATCGCCGCAAGCATCTGGTAGGTGTACGGAGGGAGTGTGCACGCCACAGTAAGACCTTAGACTTTTTGCTAAATGCAGCTTAGATGGTAAGTTTGGTTGTGAATGGTAAGTTTGGTTTGTCGAGGTGTATATGGACTATATGGTGGCCAGCAGATATTTGGGACTCACCTAAGGAAAATGAGAAAAGAAGAGGAAGGAAAAAAAAAAGAGCTTTTATAAATTGAAAATATTACTATTGCACACAAAATATGGTAGAATAAAATAAAATTTTATTTTCCATTATAATATCACCACTGCAATTCCCCTGAAGTCAACCTTGAGATGGCTGCTAAGTACCTGTGGTGTGACGACTTCAGTTCTGCTAGAAAACAGATTACCAGTACTTCCTTCTGAGCCGTTTTGACATTAATCATTTCTATAGGCATTATGTTCAAGTAACATAATAGACAGTTACCATAGAAATTGATTTCACATAAATTAGACAGAAGAACAATATTCCAACTTAATTAAAACATACAAGGATATTATTTATATAATGTTTACAATTGATCAAGATGGGGTACCCATTAATGTTATAATATTGGGATTAATAGAAGTAGGAGAGTCTTGGTAATTTTTTTTAAGGTCTTAGCTCAATTAGCCGGGACTGGTTGAGCAGTTAAGATTGGACAAGATCATAAGAGTGTACGTGAAAGCAAATTGTAGGTTCTGTAAGTTATTGTATCTGTATAATTTGAAGGGATTATGAGGGGAGACATCTAGGGGGCATATACCTCGAACTGTGCTGTCCAATATGGTAGCTATAGACATTTAAAATTTTTTAAGTTGAAATTTAAAAATCAGCTCCTGAGTCACACGAGTCACACCTCAAGTGGTCTGTGGGCACACATAGTTAGTGTCCGCCGTATTGCTCAGCACCTGTACAGAATATTCCCATCGTCACCGGAAGTTCTGTTGGATAGTGCTGATCTGGACAGCATCAATGAATGGGTCAAGTTCACTTTCTTTGGAATATAATTACCTAAATAAAAATTTTAACGGGGGTTTTTCTCTCTCCTAATGTCCAAAGAAAGTTCTGCCAGCTTGACTTTAAAAACACATTCCAGTTCTACCCACTTCTCTCCTTTTCCGTGGCTACCCTCTCAGTCACAGCCATTGTTATCTCCCACCAGAACACCTGCAATAACCACCTAACTCACTTCCTCGTTTCTGTTCCTTCTGTTTATGTATGATCTCCATAGTAGCCGGGCTGATCTTTTAAAAACATAGATCAAATGTAAATTACTTAAGAAAAAAATGCAAAAAAAGGAAACTGAATATTTATTGACTTCTCACTATTTGCACCTCAGTGCACTGTTCTTTCAAATAAACTATCTTCGTTAATCTTCACAATAATACGCAAGGGAGGTTTTATAATTCTCTTCTTTTTCAGAGAAGGAAAATAGCTTGTCTGTGTTCACCTAGCTAGTAAGTGGCAGGGTTGTTGCAGAAATAAATGAATGAATGAATGAATGATTAGATAAGCAAAGTCTATAAGCTTCAACTAGAGTGCCTTGACAAACATTATTAAACCTTAAAGGAGATTTTTTTTAGTAGGCATCTTTCTTTTGAGGAAGAGAACTCTGTGTGTATCTTTATCTACCTTACCTGTTTATTTGTTTGGACTTTGTATCTTTATCTACCTTATCTGTTTATCAGTTTATGAGTATAGCAGTCTCCTCATCAGGTTAGAGTTGAAGGTCTCTATTCCTTTAACTCCCAAAGATACAAAGTGGTAGGTAGAGTTTTGACATGGCTTATGCTAAAAGGGTCCCCTTCCTGACCAAGTCAGGCCATTTGTCCTAGGGTTTAGGGCAGTGGTTCCCCACTTTTTTTGGGTCTGAGGCCTAGTTTAAAATGTTGAGTTTTTGAAGGCACACTTATAGGGGTTGGAAGCTTCAAAACAGCACACACACAGAGAAAGCCAATCATATGATAGCAAAGCATAGCAGAATAAAACAACATCTCAATATATATGTAAGTATATCCACAATTATCACACTGTTGATTGCGGTACCCCTCTTTCTCTGCATCATTCCATGTGTTCCATTTGTCACATCACTGTATTAAGAATATGTACACTGAATTGCAGCAAAAGTGAGTTTTATTGCTTTTATTACATTGTTGCAGTTGGGGGATCTCTGTGAAGAGACTGCAGTACAGCAGTTGGTCAGAGTAGAAGCCTCTTTGTTTACTCCGAGAAATAGACCTCATTCTCCCTGTATCCTCTGAGTGGCCGCACTGGGGACAATGGGAAGCTCTCAGTATCAGCTATATAACCAACGGAGATTCCCAAGCACCAGTGGTTTTTTACTTCAACGTACATATTTCTTCATCTCACTGAAGTGATCTTTAAATCCTCAGCCCCTCAATATTCCTTAGTATGAAAAACATTTAAATTTGCTTCTTGGGCTGTGGATAAAGCAGAGAAGGGGTGCGAAATTTTATAACATTAGAGATGGATAATTTGTTTCAATCCCCAATTTTACTGATAAAGAAATTGACTAGTAAGAGGTTAAAGCCACTTGCCCAAGGCCATAGAATTAGATAAGGGAATACCTTATTGTTAGTGGAAAAGCTGTAGACTTCGAAGACAAAATGGATTTAAAATTGTAATCCTGTCATTTACTTGCTATTTTAAACTTGGGAAAGCCATTTAAATACTCTGAGCTTCTGTTTCTTTATCTGTAAAACAAGGATAGTAATATTTAGGTTACAGAATTGTTGGTTATTGCAGTTTAGAGATATCTATTATTACAAATCATTTAGAAGAGTATACTAGTGATCTATTGCAGCATTACAAATAATCCCACAATTTAGCAGCTTAAAACAGGAACTGTTTTTTATCTCATAGTTTCTGTGGGTCAGGAATCGGGGTGCAGCTTAGCTGGATACCCCTGGCTTGGGATTTTTACAAAACTTCATAAAGCATCATGTAAAATGTCATTTATGTGGCTGTGAAAAGCAGGAGGCAGGATCACTGGATACTTCTATAGCCTCCATAATTTTGTGAGACAATCTCTCATAATAAGTCCCTTCCTATTTATCTATCTCTCTATCTGTTTCTCTATCTCTATATCTATCTATCTATCTATCTATCTATCTATCTATCTATCTATCTATCTATCAATCTATATCTATATCTATATATCTATCATCTATCATCTCTCTATCTATCTCTATATTTATCTATATCATTGGATCTGTTTCTGTGGAGAACTGGGTCTCCACAGAATATACTGGGTCTAGACCCAGTATATACTAGACCCAGAATATACTGGGTCTAGGATGAAGTCATTGCCCCTCTCTCAGCAAGAGCTATGATTTACATTTAAACTACTGCTGTCCCAGTGGAAAAACCCTTTTGCACATCTTTAAATGCATTCACTTTTCCCATCCCATGGTACCCAGCCTACGCTGGGAGGCCCACAGTAGTCATTTCATTTCTCATTGCACATTGGGCTGAAAAGTAAGCAAGTCTTCCATGCAGAGGCAGGCTTCGCTGTTTCCCAATCTGCGCAGAGTGGCCTCACCCACAGACCGTGAATTTGAGAATCTCCTTTGCTCACAGGGAAAGCTTGTCTGGATTAGAAGAGTCCTGCGTAGAAACTTGACACTGTCCTGAGCCGGCAGTATTTGGAATCACACACAGGAAAGGGCTGCGTATTTGTGGACCTGCCTAAATGACAGAATGTGTGTGTGGCTGTCTCTAGTTACAGCACTCCAGGAAGCATCACCCCGAAAGTACGCTGCAATGAACCACAGCATGTCCTCCAGCTAATCCTCACTAACCGAGGTGGGGATTCTCTTTCTGTATGGACTGTCTTCTCAGCGGTGTCCTTCCTGCAGCCTTTTTGTGCCTTGGCCAGTCACTGGCCCATCCTCTGGGGCACTCGGACCCAGCTTTGCCCCTCATCAGATACATTCAACAGTTATTTAACAGTGACTTGTGAATAACCAGCTCTCCTTAGTCAAAGTCTGCGTCCCCTTCAAGGATCATGCCCAGGGGCCTAGAGAGTCACAGACAGGATTTCTCACCCTGAGGAGCACATTTCCCGAGAAGGGAAGAAGCAGCTTCCTAGTGCTCCAAGAGCCATTTGGTTCCCACCTGGGTATCCAGTCCCAGCTTAGCAGTGGGACCCCATTCCTGATTAGCTTCTGCACCAATCCTGATCTTTTGCTTTGTGTT